GATTTGATGGAAAACCCAGATAAAGAGTAAATATGTAAATGACAAAGATGCTTTGGCCAACTAATTTATGCAAATTTAGTTAATTTGCAACTACCTAAACTAAATGATTACATATTTTTGTAAACATGTTCAGATAGTTGAGTACACCTAAAATAATTGAGCTCCTTTTATTAATGTTTTACAAGGTGGCATTTCAGCACAAGTACACAGACTCTGCAGCCAGAGTACCTGAATTAGAATCCCACTCCCTGCTAAGTAGTTGTTTATCTCTTGCAGACAGCTTACCTCTTCTAGTCACAGTTTCCTCCCCTGGCAACAGAGATAATGCCTCCTGGCTTTCGGGGTTGTTGATGCATGTACAGTGCTGGCATGTAGGAGATACTCCTTCACATYCATCACTGCTATCATCATGCAGCAACAGAGACAAGTGTCTAGGACTGGGGTAATAGCTCAGTGGTAGTGTGTTTGCATAGCACCTGTAAGACCCTGGGTTCAGTCCTCAGCACCCCATAAAAATAAATAAAATAAAAGGTATTGTGTCCACCTACAACTAACAAAAATATTTTTTAAAAAAGATAGGTGTCTTTCAGGGGTTCTAGATTCTATCTTTTCATTTAAAGATGTTATAAAATTTTCTCTTCTCTTTCTCTGGTCAATGGTAAAAGCAAAAAAAAAAATCTGTGCGAACTATGAATTTAGGGTAAATGTATTTGACAATAAAACCAATATAGCCTGAAGTTATTTGATAGCAAAACTCACTTGAGCAGATGAGTCTATTTATATTCTATATTTACCCCACTTAGTATCAGCATTCATACAGTTTGATGCAAATAATGTTTATATACTGGTTTCTGGTGTTCTGTTCCAGCCTCCCAAGTAGGTGTTATGAATTATATGGTATATGTACCATGTTACTTTTTAAACAATTGGAAGTCTGAATTCCAAAACCTATTAGTCACAAGGATTTCAAATAATAAATAAGGAAGCTGAACCAATAATCTTCAGAAACTCTATCATTCCTAGATAAAATTTAAATATATATATATATTTAAATATATATATATATTTTCTCAGTCCTTTGTGTCAAAGAAAATCCTTAAATAAAATCACTTTAAAATGTAGCTAAGTGTCGTGTAATGACTGAGGCCTTATCACTCACCATTTGCTGGGTAGCCAGGGGTGAGAGGGTCCCCTGCACCATTAAGATTTAAGATATTTCCACGCTGGACACCACCTCCAGGAAGATTCCAACCATCTGGATAGGACTGTACACCAGGAGCAAAATAGTCTGCGGGGTCTGAGTACAGAATGACGGCTTTGGCCCCTGCCAGCTGGGCGTTTTTAACCTAGGAAATAGAGTGTACTTCTCTTATGTTAATTGGTTGCCCCGGATTTGGTAGTAACAATTTTCAAAACTACACATAAATGAGTAACTGAGCTTTATGTTCAAGCCTTTCTCATTAGGCTTACAACAAAGAACTTATTCAGAGAAGTAGCTTTTTCTTTTTTCTACTTCAGGTTCTAAAAATGGATCAGTTCTCAGAACAGATTTGGAAAATATCCAGATACTAGTAGTGAGTACTTGGTGTTTCCTTTTGATGCTCTGGAAGTATATAGAGCAAGTAGACTCCTCGGGCAGATTCCTCCTAGTTCTATAGTTGAAGTGAATATTTTTAAATTTATTTTCCAAAAAAATTTTTTAAAAATTAAAAAGTCAAGTGACATTAATTTAAAACTACTATGTGAATTTTATTTTCTCTTAATATCTATAATAACAATGTATATTAAATTTATTTCAGTAAATATTTTTAGATGTAATATTTAAAACAAAAATACTGAAACAACAAATCTAGTATGCATTTCTAAGTAGGCCACAGGGGTAACTTGCAAATACAGAAAAATCTATTCGGCTCACCCTGGCCAAACACTGGCCAATTCCAGTGGCCCAGTTTAAAACCACTTCCCATAAGCTAGTAAGGATGTCCTCCCTGTAAGGTGGACATTTATAGAATGTAAGAGGATCATAGTCTTCAAAAGGTTGCAAGGAGATTTTAGATATATTGTATTATACCTTTTCATATTGGAGGAAAAGGAAAGAGATGATATTACCTTATTTCCTCTGAAAACTTTCCCATATCTGGCAATCACAATCTTTCCAGAGCAATTGAT